ATAGTAAGTTCCGCAAAACTGCTAGGTAGTGCCAGAGAGTATAGCAGGTTCCGCTAAACTGCTAGGTAATGCCAGAGAGTATAGCAAGTTCGGCTAAACTTGCTAAGCAGCGCCAGAGAGCGAAGAGCGAGTCATCTAACGCCAGAAAGTTGCACGAAAGAGTCCCTCTGGTGACGAGGACAACAAGGCGGAAGGAGACAGTTTAGCACAGTTCCAGACCTGGCCATTACACCCGGTCATTACCAGACACTGAAACATGCGCTTATCTCGGCTTACATGTTGGCCGGCTTGTGTAAATTTTGGTTAATTGTGGCTCCCTGAGGAAGGTTAGGTTAGGACGTGGTCCTCCTGTGGCGGGAGCAGTAGCAGGGAACACCAGCAGCAGCAGTAGCAGGGAACACCAGCAGCAGCAGGAGCAGTAGCAGGGAACACCAGCAGCAGCAGTAGCAGGGAACACCAGCAGCAGCAGGAGCAGTAGCAGGGAACACCAGCAGCAGCAGTAGCAGGGAACACCAGCAGCAGCAGGAGCAGTAGCAGGGAACAGGAACAACAGCAGAAGGAGCAGTAGCAGGGAACAGGAACAACAGCAGAAGGAACAGTAGCAGGGAACAGGAACAACAGCAGAAGGAACAGTAGCAGGGAACAGGAACAGGAGCAGTAGCAGGGAACACCAGCAGCAGAAGGAAGCCAATCGGAAGTTGTGACCCTGTTGTTGATTCTCCTGTTGTTGATTCTCCTGTTGTTGATTCTCCTGTTGTTGATTCTCCTGTTGTTGATTCTCCTGTTGTTGATTCTCCTGTTGTTGATTCTCCTGTTGTTGATTCTCCTGCTGTTGATTCTCCAGTTGTTGATTCTCCTGTTGTTGATTCTCCTGTTGTTGATTCTCCTGTTGTTGATTCTCCTGCTGTTGATTCTCCTGTTGTTGATTCTCCTGTTGTTGATTCTCCTGCTGTTGATTCTCCTGTTGTTGATTCTCCTGTTGTTGATTCTCCTGTTGTTGATTCTCCTGTTGTTGATTCTCCTGTTGTTGATTCTCCTGTTGTTGATTCTCCTGTTGACCATGCAACAGAGCCTGTTGTTGACCAAGGAAACGGCTAATAACATCAACATGAGAACATATGTACTATATATGTACAATGATGTACATAGTATACACCTGTGTACGCTTAATTAACCACAGGTATCATTCACACAAAGTACAATTCAAAGGCAAATCACTCGCCTGGTAATTTCATGTTGAAATTAATACCTTCAAAGACCTGGAAATTAACAGAAAGGATCCAGTCCAAACTAATTAGTAGTAATAGTAGAATTGCCATAGTTGCAATAATGGTTATCTTGAGGTTATCTTGAGATGATTTAGTAACAATTTATACCTGTGACAGGAATACAGGTAATGACTCAACACGACCGCGACACTCCCGGGGCCACAAATATACTTGTCGTGTGAGAGTAATGGAGCAGCCGTGATTGTGGAGGAATTGATTGTAGCGTTAGAAATGCAGGTGATTGGCAGGTGTACTCAATAGTGCCTGGACTTAATGGTGTTTGTGGAGGAAATGGCCCATTGATTCTGCATGTGTGGAATGTGAATTTTTGAGCCGAGCTGTGGAGGTGAGAGAGAGAGAGAGAGAGAGAGAGAGAGAGAGAGAGAGAGAGAGAGAGAGAGAGAGAGAGAGAGAGAGAGAGAGAGACACAGAGAGACCACCTAACTCCCCACGTTTCTGTCCTATCTCCTGCTTGTCCTGTTTCAGCTTCTTCATCTTCTCCTCTCTCTCTACTCCTATTCTACCTCTTAGAGCACTCCTACTCCATCTTTCTCTTCCTCCGCCTGCTCTTGCTCCTGGTTCCAGCACCCTGCTCTTCCCTGTGAGCTACAGTGATGCTCTTGGTGGTCTTCACATGTTAAAACATTCACCACCGTGCTGGCCAGGTCTAGACCCCCTACCTCCCTCCTAGTCTGATCTTACAAATCACGTCAGAACTGCCTCGTGCGGCTGCTGTGAACGACTCAGGGTGAAACAGGGCTCCAGGGGGTGTGGGACACATGAAACAGGGCTCCAGGGGGTGTGGGACACATGAAACAGGGCTCCAGGGGATGTGGGACACATGAAACAGGGCTCCAGGGGGTGTGGGACACATGAAACAGGGCTCCAGGGGATGTGGGACACATGAAACAGGGCTCCAGGGGGTGTGGGACACATGAAACAGGGCTCCAGGGGGTGTGGGACACATAAAACAGGGCTCCAGGGGATGTGGGACACATGAAACAGGGCTCCAGGGTTGTGGAGCACATGAAACAGGGCTCCAGGGATGTGGAACACATGAAACAGGGCTCCAGGGTTGTGGAGCACATGAAACAGGGCTCCAGGGTTGTGGAGCACATGAAACAGGGCTCCAGGGTTGTGGAGCACATGAAACAGAGCTCCAGGGATGTGGGACACATGAAACAGGGCTCCAGGGATGTGGGACACATGAAACAGGGCTCCAGGGGGTGTGGGACACATAAAACAGGGCTCCAGGGGGTGTGGGACACATGAAACAGGGCTCCAGGGGTGTGGGACACATGAAACAGGGCTCCAGGGATGTAGGACACATGAAACAGGGCTCCAGGGGATGTGAGACACATGAAACAGGGCTCCAGGGGATGTGGGACACATGAAACAGGGCTCCAGGGTTGTGGAGCACATGAAACAGGGCTTCAGGGATGTGGAACACATGAAACAGGGCTCCAGGGTTGTGGAGCACATGAAACAGGGCTCCAGGGTTGTGGAGCACATGAAACAGGGCTCCAGGGTTGTGGAGCACATGAAACAGGGCTCCAGGGTTGTGGAGCACATGAAACAGGGCTCCAGGGTTGTGGAGCACATGAAACAGGGCTCCAGGGATGTGGGACACATGAAACAGGGCTCCAGGGATGTAGGACACATGAAACAGGGCTCCAGGGGATGTGAGACACATGAAACAGGGCTCCAGGGGATGTGGGACACATGAAACAGGGCTCCAGGGGATGTGGGACACATGAAACAGGGCTCCAGGGGTGTGGGACACATGAAACAGGGCTCCAGGGGATGTGGGACACATGAAACAGGGCTCCAGGGGTTGTGGGACACATGAAACAGGGCTCCAGGGGGTGTGGGACACATGAAACAGGGCTCCAGGGGATGTGGGACACATGAAACAGGGCTCCAGGGGGTGTGGGACACATGAAACAGGGCTCCAGGGGGTGTGGGACACATGAAACAGGGCTCCAGGGGGTGTGGGACACATGAAACAGGGCTCCAGGGGGTGTGGGACACATGAAACAGGGCTCCAGGGGTGTGGGACACATGAAACAGGGCTCCAGGGGGTGTGGGACACATGAAACAGGGCTCCAGGGGATGTGGGTCAGGTTTAATAGTGAAATATGTGGGTTTAGGGTGATGGTTGGAAGGGAGGGAACAGGGTGAGGGGGAATAAATATTGTTTCCTTCGACTAATGAAGGGAAGGTAAACGATCGAATGAAAGAAAAAAATAAGGAGAGAAGGAAGGAAGAAAGGGAGGGAAGGAATGAATGAATGAAGAGGTGGGTGGTGGGGGGAAGAAATGAGATCTGAAAAACTTTCCTCGTAAATTATCGACGGAGCTCCTTACCTGCGCCTCCATGTTTTGTTCCCTCCATTGTTCCCCTCCTGCAGGGGGGGGGGGTAGGGGGGCAAGGAGGGGGTGTTGGGGGTGTTGGGGGGGGGGGGGGGGGGGGGCGAGACCCCCGCTGTGATAGTGATGATGGTGTCGGCGCCAATCATAGTCTTCACTACCACAGTGGCGGCCCCCCAATTCACTATCAATCTTAAATGTTGTTTTCAAATTCCAAGCGACGCGCTTTCCTCGCTCCTTGTAAACTTTAGTTTACCAAGTTTACGCTCCTGAGGCTCCCGAGTACCCAGCGAAGAGGAGACCCAGCACCGCTGGGCATGCCAACAGGAGGGAGGGAACTATCAGGGGGGAAAGCGCCAAGCCATTACGACTATATAGCACTTGGAAGGGGTCAGGATAAGGATTTGGGATGGGACGGAGGGAAAGGAATGGTGCCCAACCACTTATGACAGTTGGGGATTGAACGCCGACCTGCATGAAGCGAGACCGTCGCTCTACCGTCCAGCCCAAGTGCAGGTAATGGCCTTCTACACAATCTACCCACCAAGATAACACTGCACAATAAGGGTGTGCTCTAATGCACATTCAGACCAACACAACGGGCTAGACGGCTGAGTGGACAGCGCTCTGGATTCGTAATCCTAGGGACCGGGGATCGATCCTCGGAACGGCGGAAACAAATGGGCAGAGTTTCTTTCACTCAGATGCCGTTCTGATGTTAGCCAGCCTCTCATATGCCGCAGACGTTATTCTCTTTATGTGGGCTTCAGGAGACAGGTTTGGTGTGATATCAACTCCTAGATCTTTCTCTCTGTTTCATTAAGTACTTCATCTGCTATTCTGTATCCTGTGCCTGGCCTCCTGTTTCCACTGCCTAGTTTCATTACTTTGCATTTACTCGGGTTGAACTTCAACAGCCATTTGTTGGACCATTCACTCAGTCTATCCAGGTCATCTTGTAGCCTCCTACTATCATCCTCTGTTTCAATCCTCCTCATAATTTTTGCATCGTCGGCAAACATTGAGAGGAACGAATCTATACCCTCTGGGAGATCATTTACATATACCAGAAACAGTATAGGTCCAAGGACTGACCGGGGGATGTGTGTGTGTGTGTGTGTGTGTGTGTGTGTGTGTGTGTGTGTGTGTGTGTGTGTGTGTGTGTGTGTGTGTGTGTGTGTGTGTGTGTGGAAAAAGTAAATCCGTTCATTGACAGTTGAGAGGCGGGCCGAAAGAGCCAGAGCTCAACCCCCGCAAGCACAACTAGGTGGGTTGATAGCATAGTGTGGCTGAGGCTGGGATGTTTGTATATCGGTGTAATAGTGAAGGAATATCTTTAATAATATATTTTCTACTTTCAGATGCGTAGGAGGAACATCAGCCAGTGGGCACCCGCGTGCGTGACGTCACTCAAGAACCACCCTCCTATAACGGATATTATGTATATATAATGTAGACAATGCTCGTAATAGCTGGGAGGGGAGACTTCAATTGTGGAAACGGTGATTAAAAATGATAATATGGATACAGAAGGCTAACAGAGCACTTAAAAGTATGACAAACGGATAGATGAAAGGGAACTTGGTAACGGAAACAAGATTTGAAATTTTGTTTTGAAACTCAAGTGGTGTCCGGAAGAGCTATGATTGGCTGGCCGGGGGTGACGTCAGCGGCCCCAGCCAGCCAATGGGCGGGCAGGTATATCCTATTTTTCGTTCTCTGGATGCAAGATGTCACCGCGCAGGCCAACATAAAAAGTAAGCATTATTGGGTTTTATTTATATAGTGTTTATGGATCACCTTCATTATTTATATTGTTATTTATTTTAATTATTTTATTTAACTTCATGAGATATTTCTGAATAATTCAGTTCCCCCTCACAAGTAAACACGTTCCAATACTCTTTCTTACAGCTGTTTTTATTCAGTTCAGAGAATACAGAAGTATAAATCCTCTGAAATTTGTTTTGCTAGCTAGGAGCTTTCCCTCCCACAGCTCGGTGTGGGGGCTAAGAGTTCTCCCTCCCACAGCTCAGTGTGTGGGGGCGAAGAGTTCTCCCTCCCACAGCTCAGTGTGTGGGGGCTAAGAGTTCTCCTTCCCACAGCTCAGTGTGTGGGGGCTAAGAGTTCTCCTTCCCAGAGCTCTGTGTGTGGGGGCTAAGAGTTCCCCCTCCCACAGCACAGTGTGTGGGGGCTAAGAGTTCCCCCTCCCACAGCACAGTGTGTGGGGGCTAAGAGCTCCCCCTCCCACAACTCAGTGTGTGCAGACTAAGAGCTCTCCCTCAGCTCCTAAGAGATCTTCTGGAACTATCCTCCACCTTAACTTTGAAGACTCACATCAAGTCAAGTTAACAGTGATCAATGGACTCTCTAAGTCATACAGGTCTCAATCCTCACCTCATGTCCCTTACTCTGGGTGAAGAGGACATGGATCCCTGGAGTACTACCACGTGCCCTCGTCCTCGTGTCCTCTGCGACAAGTTGTAACATAAAGTTTCACTCTGAGGCCTGAACGAGCTTAGTGCTCTAGTCCTATGTGTTTATATAAGAATTTTTGGTTTTCATTCCATTTCCTGATGGTTGAAATCACCCATAACTAGGATCTTTGCATTAATTTCTAATAAAAAAAATGTTGCATGTGACTGCGACTATTTACTGTTTTGTTCCGTTACAAATTTCACATTGTTTTACGTCTTTGTTATTGACTCACACTACAAATTTCCTCAAAAAAATCCCTCCTCTTTAATACTGTTACTCAACCTCTTATCATATTCTCTTCCTCTTTATTTAGTTCTGGTGAACACTGCAACTGTTCGGCCTTTCGATTTGTGGTCTTAAATGCTGGTGCATACGGATCTTAATCCTTTGCTTCATTTCATCAGTTTTGTTTGAAATGCCATCAGCATTTATGTACCAATCTTCTCTAATTTTTTTAGGGCAAGTTTGTGGAGTCGAAGATTGGTTGATTGGTTGAATACGGGATGTTTGAGGGGCATGATAGCTTGGCAGGTTGAAGGTGGTAGTGTTGGCGGTTGAGCAAAGGTAAAGGAATTGTTGTGGATCTGATTGGTGAGAGTTGGTTGTGTGGTGTGTGGTTGAGCTTGGGTTAGAGGATGAAATATGTAGTGTAATACTTGGTTGTTGTTTGATGGACGAGGCTGCCAGGTGTCATTGACAAGGCCCGGGACTCGTTACTGTGGCAATAATTCAACTGGTATTTACCGCGCTGGACGCTACCAATTATATTAACTATATGTGAAAGATGTTCCCACAAGGTAAGGGAGCCGGTCGGCCGAGCGGACAGCACGCTGGACTTGTGTTCCTGTGGTCCCGGGTTCGATCCCAGGCGCCAGCGAGAAACAATGGGCAGAGTTTCTTTCACCCTATGCCCCTGTTACCTAGCAGTAAAATAGGTGCCTGGGTGTTAGTCAGCTGTCACGGGCTGCTTCCTGGGGGTGGAGGCCTGGTCGAGGACCGGGCCGCGGGGACACTAAAGCCCCGAAATCATCTCAAGATAACCGTGGGTGCTCGCCTAAATGTACTCACATAGTCGTGCTTGAAGGGTTGAACTTCTGCTCCTAAGCCCCGCTTAGGGCCATAATTACTTCAACTCGAGTCATTTCCATCGGATTTCTTGTCATATTTAAATTTTAAAACTGTATCGAATTGGCTTCGACAACTGCCTCGTCTTGTCAGCTTAAATAATTCTCAACTCTGAGACTGAGAAAGTTCTGACATTTCTCAGTTTCCAATTATGTCCTCTCGTTCTACTGTTCCGTAATCTTATCATTGATTTTATATCTAGTTTGTCAATCAATCCCCGCCTTTGGAATCTTCTACGTCGTTATCATGTCTGCACAACTCTTACTTTCCTCTATTGAAGTGAGGTTCAGTTTCGTAATTATTAATAGCTCAGTTTCTTTAGCCCAGGAACGGCTTTGTTACATATTTTTGGACCTCTCAAGTTTTGTTGTGTGTGTGTGTGTGTGTGTGTGTGTGTGTGTGTGTGTGTGTGTGTGTGTGTGTGTGTGTACTCACCTAGTTGTGCTTGCGGGGGTTGAGCTCTGGCTCTTTGGTCCCGCCTCTCAACCGTCAATCAACAGGTGTACAGGTTCCTGAGCCTATTGGGCTCTATCTGTGTGTGTGTGTGTGTGTGTGTACTCACCTAATTGCGTGTGCGCGTGTGCTCATATAGGTGAGTACTCACACACGCACACACGTACACACCTGGACACAGCAAGCCAGGAGCGAGCACAGAGAATGTTGAATATGAAAGGTGACGGGTGTATTCAGTGTGAGGGAGGAGTGAGGAAGCAGGGAGGGAGGGAGGGAGGGAGTAGTAAGGCAGGGAAGAAGGGAGGGACAAAGGGAGGGAAGCAGGGAGGGAGATAGGTAGCACACACAACAGCACTAACAAAGCCGCTCCTTAGCACCATGGAGGCAGCATATACTCTACACCCTCAGGGGGGTATAACTCACCCTTCAGGGGAGGTATAACTCACCCTTCAGGGGGGTATAACTCACCCTTCAGGGGGGTATAACTCACCCTTCAGGGGGGTATAACTCACCCTTCAGGGGGGTATAACTCACCCTTCAGGGGGGTATAACTCACACTTCAGGGGGGTATAACTCACCCTTCAGGGGGGTATAACTCACCCTTCAGGGGGGTATAACTCACCCTTCAGGGGGGTATAACTCACCCTTCAGGGGGGTATAACTCACCCTTCAGGGGGGTATAACTCACCCTTCAGGGGGGTATAACTCACCCTTCAGGGGGGTATAACTCACCCTTCAGGGGGGTATAACTCACACTTCAGGGAGGTATAACTCACCCTTCAGGGGGGTATAACTCACCCTTCAGGGGGGTATAACTCACCCTTCAGGGGAGGTATAACTCACCCTTCAGGGGGGTATAACTCACCCTTCAGGGGGGTATAACTCACCCTTCAGGGGGGTATAACTCACCCTTCAGGGGGGTATAACTCACCCTTCAGGGGGGTATAACTCACACTTCAGGGAGGTATAACTCACCCTTCAGGGGGGTATAACTCACCCTTCAGGGGGGTATAACTCACCCTTCAGGGGGGTATAACTCACCCTTCAGGGGGGTATAACTCACCCTTCAGGGGGGTATAACTCACCCTTCAGGGAGGTATAACTCACCCTTCAGGGGGGTATAACTCACACTTCAGGGAGGTATAACTCACCCTTCAGGGGGGTATAACTCACCCTTCAGGGGGGTATAACTCACCCTTCAGGGAGGTATAACTCACCCTTCAGGGGAGTATAACTCACCCTTCAGGGGAGTATAACTCACCCTTCAGGGGGGTATAACTCACCCTTCAGGGGAGTATAACTCACCCTTCAGGGGGGGTATAACTCACCCTTCAGGGAGGTATAACTCACCCTTCAGGGGAGTATAACTCACCCTTCAGGGAGGTATAACTCACCCTTCAGGGAGGTATAACTCACCCTTCAGGGGAGTATAACTCACCCTTCAGGGGGGTATAACTCACCCTTCAGGGGAGTATAACTCACCCTTCAGGGGGGTATAACTCACCCTTCAGGGAGGTATAACTCACCCTTCAGGGGGGTATAACTCACCCTTCAGGGAGGTATAACTCACCCTTCAGGGGAGTATAACTCACCCTTCAGGGGGGTATAACTCACCCTTCAGGGGAGTATAACTCACCCTTCAGGGGGGGTATAACTCACCCTTCAGGGAGGTATAACTCACCCTTCAGGGGAGTATAACTCACCCTTCAGGGAGGTATAACTCACCCTTCAGGGGAGTATAACTCACCCTTCAGGGAGGTATAACTCACCCTTCAGGGGAGTATAACTCACCCTTCAGGGGAGGTATAACTCACTCTTCAGGGGAGTATAACTCACCCTTCCGGGGGTATAACTCACCCTTCAGGGGGTATAACTCACCCTTCAAGGGGTGTATAACTCACCCTTCAAGGGGTGTATAACTCACCCTTCAGGTGGGGTATAACTCACCCTTCAGGGGAGGTATAACTCACCCTTTTCGGGTTCGAATCCCGAATGAGACAGAAATGGCTTGGGCACGTTTCCTATCACCCAATACACCTGTTCACCTAGCAGTAAATAGGTACCCAGGAGTTAGTCGACGGGAGGGGCGGACACCTCGATATAAGCCTAACATGTACTGTATATATACACTGCCTACCTGTCCCCTGACACAATGAATTATTATAACTATGTAAGACCCTTCTTGAGTATGCAGACCTGGCATGGTACCCCTTCATTGAGATACAAAACACAGAATAACTAAAGGAATAAGGGAGACATGACAACGGCGTAGGAGATACTTCCGAGAATGGGTCAGGAAGACAGTCAAGCATTGCTCAACGGGAGGAACAGTTGAACGACAGGACACAACAGACAGATGAGACAGGGAGATGACAGAAGCAACTTGTTCAGTCATTAGTACACTAACGAGGAAGCTGTCTGGACCAATTCGATATAAACAACTCAACTCAACATTTTTATACTATTACACTTGCTGTGATTGAACTCTAGCAACCATCTTCTGGACCACTCGTGCCCCACCACCAAGTGTGAACGTACACACATGAAGGAGGTGGAAATACGTACACACGGAGGTGGAAATACGTACACACAGAGGTGGAAATACGTACACACAGAGGTGGAAATACGTACACACGGAGGTGGAAATACGTACACACGGAGATTAACGTACCCAAGAGCAGAAGGAAATTCGAAAAAGAAT